TGGTCTGAGCAAGTTCAACTCTGCTCCCCCTGTCTACCATATGCTCTACATAGCTGCACCATCAAGTCCGCCCCACCCCCTCACCCCCAACAGCCAACTAGTAGTTGTCTTTTTGGCATTTACGCTTCATCTCGGTCTCTCGTGTTTTGGTTTTGCTGTACGTACGAGTAGTGCTTGTGCTTGGGGCTTAGGGTGTACGGTTTAGGGTTTAGGCCGTGGAAGACTCTACTTCGTTCCGAGCTTAGTGTTTATGCTTACTGATGCATTTCTTTGGATAGCTTCCTTCCTAAACCCCAAACCCTAAATTCTAAGTTCCCTAAACGCCACATCTGAGAGGTGAAACTCCTCACTCGAAGCTCCCTAAACCGTACACCCAAAGCCCCAAACCACCCCAAACTTGGTAGCCCGAGTAAACTGCACAGCCACGAAGACGCCCTTCCTTCTAATTTTTGGTCGAGGAAAAGCCGAGACAGAACAACTGCGAAGTGCGGGGTTCCTGCTGCACCTTTGTATCCAGGTGCCTGGTTTAGGGGGTGATACATCGGATCCTCGAAAGATGGTTTTTTGTGGTTTTAGACTTCATACAGGCTTAGCAGCTCTGAGTTTTGATGAACACCTACACCTTCGGCTTCCCTCCGAGCAAGACTCTAAGAGGCAGAAATCACAGCTGCTGTTCAGTTCCACGCCAGGGTTATCACGGCTCTAGCCGCTTTAGGGTTTAGGGTTTAGGGTCAGCACGTTTTGGTGTCTGGACTGATGAAGGCAGCAAACTGTTTGTGGCAACATTCCGATGTCGCACGACACATTCTAATCATGCTCGTAGAGTGCTTGAAGAGCGACGGACCGCAAGTTCACTGAGAAGTTGCGCAGAGATGTGCAAACCAGCACAGGGGGCGAAATTCCCAATCAAGTTGGAGCGAGTTCTTAAGGCGAATGGTGATCACTCGCATGTCCATTATTCAAGCTGGATGTCACGGTTTCACTGGAGCCCTTTCCGAGTAATCCCCCGAGGTCTCAGCTCTCCACTTCGCAACCTTTTTGGAACAGGGTCTGCACAGGTTTCAGGGTTTGGCGTTTAGGGCTACCGTGCCAAAAGCTCTCAAAGGCTCGGTCTTGAGTCTTGAGATAACAGAAGATCTGTGTTGCTGCAGCAAGCAGAGCAATCCAAGCCTTGATTCTGCAGCTTTGTGGTGCTTTCCGCGGCTTCCGGGTCGAAGAACCGTAGCCGCAATAGCCATGGACACGCATTTTCCTTTGGAGGTGCAAGGTTGCTACTAGTAGCTCTTGAGGCTCTTCTCGCATCCCACCACCACAAACTTGCAGACTCTTCCTCAGGTCGCCTCACCATGCTAAAGAAGGGGCCTTAATCATTACCTATAGTATTCTGGGGGTTCCTTATTATAAGTATAGTATAATGGGGCAGAAAAAACCCTATTCTAATTACTAAGGCCCCTATATTAAGCCCCCATTCCGGCCCTGGGTTCTGCATCCGAACATCTCACAAAGCCTCAGATGATGATCGAAAGGATTATTTCAGAGCTCTGATGTCAAACCCTACTCCATCCCTCCGTTCCAAACGACTACGCCGTGCAGGTTCTGGCCCCGCTCAGCGTCCAACTGATGAAAGCATCTCGACATCATCCGACGTCCTTACTCATGCAGCACAAGCGCAATCCAAATTAATCCAGAGCCCAAGACTTGTCTTTGGCTGTTGTGAGCTTCGTCTTCTTCTGGATGCTTCTGGGCATGGCAACGCAGTGAAAGGGTGCTTGTGCATTTTCTGGCTGGGCTCCAGTGATCTAGGGTTAAGGAGAGCGTTGATAAGTGGGGTTTCGTGTCGGAGTCCTTGTGGCATTGACCCGAACAAGGGGTCCCTCAGTCAAACACAGCTTCAATGCACCTCTTAAGTCTGGATCGTGAACGCAAGCAGCAGCCTGTGTACTTCAGTACTCTAAGACGGATTTGTCTTGAGAGCTTGTTGGGGGAGGTTTGGGAAGCAGGTTTATGGTCCTTCTCCAAACTCTTCAAAGCCTCTGTGTTGCGAGGCTGGCTTGAGCTGCAAGTCTTTTTGAACACTCAAACTATCGTCGCAAGGTTAGGCTCTCTGAATTTCCACTGCTCCGCCTGCAACAATGGGCACATCAAATCCGGATCTTGGTGTCAAGAACTGCCCAGGTGATTTCCGACGTCGCCAGGTCAATGACACCGCAATTTGATGGTTTAGTCCGGTCTAGCATGCTGGAGCTTTGGTTTTCGAACTAGAGCCCAGTTGAATGTGGCTTCCATCCGGAGGCGGCGGTGACAGCTTTGTCCGTTACACAAAACTTGTAAAGTTGTAAAGTTCAAATTGCAGCTTCACCTGGCGTGGCAACGGCCCACGTCTTAGCCCCTTGACGTTGAGCCTGGCATTCCTGGTCCTAGCATGACGTGCATGTGGTGCTTCGACCAATTCTGCGTTAAGCATCCAGTTTTCGGGGTGCAGGTGTGAGGTGTAAGGGGTACAAGATGTACCCTAGCATCTGCTGCTGCATGGATTCTTGAATCCAAACACATAGGTCCCTAAGCCCAAGTGGGATTTGTGAAGCATTTGTTTGCAGGGAGCGTCTAGATCCTAGCGATTTTTTCGTTGAACTCTTCCTGGAAGCTGTAACACATGTTCAAGGTAGGGATGTAGGCTACTGTCGAGGGGTGCCACGAATTCGCGGCTTGGCCGCATTGTTTTCCCTGTGGCGTCAGAACTGTCGGAGCTCCCAATAAAACACACACAAGCCCGCTGAACGGGCCTTGTCCACGATCTGAGGTTGTTTTATTTGTGGTGTTTGTAAGCTATTTTGGTGTTCATGACGGCTTTATGGGGTTCATAAGTTGCTACCTCACAAAAGAAATCCGATTCTGCACTAGGTATCCCAGTCTGTTTCTTTTCCGTACCAAGACCCCTGTCGCACGCCCCAACAGCCCCACGCCCAAACCTTTTTTCAGCCAAGACCCCTGAGGAAGCCCTGCAAACACCCTTTATAACATACTACAATATGCGAAAATAGACTAGACCATACGAGAAGACATTATAATGAGGTCCCTCATGGTGTAACCGTGAAGAAGCTGACCCCTACAATGTTCATCCTGTGCTTTGATCTGCAAATCCAGCAGCTGCAAATCCAGCAGCACACTTCACCTTAGAAGGTGCTAAGGGTTGACGGTTTCGTGTTTAGGGTTAGTTTAAAGCCACGCAAGAAGGACGCAACGAATCCTTGATCCCAAGTCTTCGTTCAGCCCTTTGGAACTCCAACGCATGGACGCGTCTTGTTTCGTGTAGAGCAGACCGACACTGTAGCATGGGGCTCCAACAGGGAAGTGTGGAATAGTGTACAGTCTACAGTTGCGACTGTGGTCAGAAGTAGAATGGTAGTCGTGTACAGGAGCGTCGTCTCTGGTGTGGCCAATGCGGCAGCTCGCAATCTACATCTCTCGCCTTGGGGTGCCTAGGGTTTGAGGCTTCAAGCCCCTTTGTCGTTGGTCCCTAAACCTAACTCCCCAGAGCCCGGTTCTGTCCTGAGCTTCGGGCCTCCCGACTCCCCTCAGACGAAAGGCACAAAAAAAGCCATGAAAGCCTGTAGCCTTCTACTCGTAGTAGCGCACTTAGAGTCTCACAGTCTTGTAGCAACCCTGTTTGGTAAGGCCCTTTTTGTTTCCTGAAAGGTTCAGGGCTTCAGGATTGCGGGCTCTGGATTTGAAGGACCAGGTAAGCCTTCGGAGCGTGCGTAGTAACGCCGTCGTCTTCACTCTTACGGCCCATGGGGCTTTGGACTGCTAGTCCCAGGGTCTTAGGGTAAGAACCCAGCCCAAAAGCTAGACTGCCTCGAAGTGCTAAGCCGCTCCATCTCCGAGCAACCTACAGACTGAAATGTGGAAACCCTGAAACCCCAAATCCGGTATCCCACGACGGTAGAGATCTCTTTACCTCTGTGGGACGGATCTCAGTCACGGCGGGCAGTCAGTGAAAAAGAGCAGAGTTTGGTATAGAGGGCGTAAGGTTTGGGATTTGGTAGGAAGGTTGCCATATCAGTATTGGTGGCGCTTTCGAGAATAGTGCTTTGGCCGGGCGAAGGATTACTTGAAGCCGTGAACCCTAAATCCTGAATGAACTGCAGCCTTAAAATCCTAAGTCGCAATATAGGAGCCTGGGTTCAGGGTTCTGTATGATGGTTATACTTATAGTGTGGTATACTCCGAAACCCTACTTGTAGGGCATGAAGATGTCCTCTTCTGCATTTGCATTCAGGGCTGGGTCGTACGGTGCAGATGCTTGGTGAGAGCCTCTCGGCGTAATATATGCCAATCGATCAAACGTCCCAGCTTGGGGGGCTCATTTTGTTTCATCATTTGGGGTTTAGGCGCTTGCAGTCCTTGAAGTCTCAGTGCAAAGGTTGATTGGAGATTGGAGCTTAAAGTTTCATAGCTTGCTCTTTCAAGATTTGGGTTTCAGAAATGCATCAGGCCTGCCAGGCTTCCTTCAGGCTTCTCTTTTTTAAATCTGTCGGCTGTAGCCTCATGATCACCAGAATTGCTAGGGTGTGTGTGTGTATGTTCTTTTTGCTTCACTCTTTTGATGGATGGCCTACCACGCAGCCATGTTGATTGGCTAGTGCCGGACATGCCCGTGCCCACGGCTTGCACACTCAGAAGATGCCACAAGTCCAAGCCTACAGTACGAAAGGTCCCAGTCTAGAAGCAGATAGCGCGCAGTAACTTGCAGGTGCATGGTGCTTTACATCGACCATATGCAGAGAGTAGTCCAACAAAGCCAAACCTGAATACCCGATACCAAGCATTACCCCCAAGCCCCGAAGCCCCTAAGCCCATACCTGACAGAACTGCGACTTTCCGAATAGCGAGACCCAACTCCCTGAGTCCCTGCTTGTAAGTCCCAAGCCTCCCATTGCGTGCCCCGTACCATGGTCCTCGTACGCATGGCCGTACTCTGCCACTGATTCTGGCTACGGATGGAGGACTGTTGTCGTAGGACACGCTTTTGTAGTCGAGCAAGTATAGCCTTCAACTTCTTAGGGTAGTAGAGGTTCATGGTTCTTCCATGTAAGCAGCTTAAAGATCCAAAGGCGGATGCGGAGATGCAAGATCCAAAGCTGTGGGGGAAGTAAAAGTGGCATTTAATTTAGTGGGGATAGGATCGTAAGACTTTTACACCGACATCTATTTCCTGCCTATTAGCTTTGAAACAGGTGTGGGGATCATTAGGATAGAGTCCTGCTTCCAGTGTCTGCCTCCGTCCCGGGAAGTAAGCAGGTTTCGGATATTGAACCTTGGAGGAGTGCTTCGGGCGTATGGTCTGAGGTTTAGGGTGGGCAAACTTCATGATTCTTGAGCATGGAGTTGTTACAGAGTACATGAATCCAACATCAGGGAAGTGAGAGTAACAGAGTGTTAGTGTTGGGCTACTTTCTAAGTGCGAGAGTCGATGGATTGTCGCTGAGACATTTGCGAGGTGCCTTGCTCGTGAAAAGGCACCCTGGGACAAGACGTAGAAAAAGATGCCGCGGCATCTCGCACAGACCTGGCAGAAACATGCCGGATAGAAGCCAAACGGCCCTAATACAGGAGCTTGAACGGTTGTTCATGGCACTACAACATATCCAACTACTTCGTACGGCCAATGTAGTAGAGTAGATGCAGCGACTGGTCGAACTCTGGAGTGCGTCGGGCGTCTTTGTTCCTCGGCGTACAGTAATTTCCAACCCTTGAATGTTTGCTCCGTTGATTCTGGAAGCTCCGAAGCGCCGGACCCTGGTTCCTGCACCCTCCACTCCAACCGGCCAAAAGCCTCAAGCTTCAAAGCCTTCAGCAACCCAACACCCCCAAGCCCCAAAGCACCAAACAGAAGCCAACCGGAAGAGTTATCGCTAGTACACTGCCGTGGATTGCCCTCTGACAGGGATCTTAAGTTGTAGTTGGGGATCTAGGATTCGATCGTTGGAAGGGACGAGTTTGCCTGCTGAGGAGGATATGCCGAGGCTTCCTGAGGCTCGCTGGCTTGCGCAGACTGACGTTTATCTATATCTAATGTGTGTATGTTGATGTGTGTGTAGATGTAGATGTATGTTGATGCAGATGCAGATGTAAGATGTAGATATATATATGCATGCGAATATGTATGTGTACATGTGCATACATATGTGCATGTAGATGTATTTGTTCGTATGCAAAACAGATGTAAATGTACATATGTTCACGTATGTAGACACATACATGTACATGTGCATACCTTTCTCTATCTATTTACCTATCTATCTATGTATCTATCTATCTATCTATCAGTATGAATATGTGCGCATATCTAAATACTTAAAGATGTATATTTATACATGCAGATATGTAAACGCACAGATTTATATCAAATTTTGTTGTATTCGTATAAGATATTGTATCAACAACTTCCGTCAACTATTATTCACTAACTAGATGTGGATCCTTGGTAGGGAGCTTCGGCTAAACGCTTAAACAATGACAGACCCCAAAACCCTCCCAGACTTATTGAGGCCGCTACATATTGTCGTGGAGGCTGATTGAACGGAGGTTTCGGCCCTAGGCTTAACGCTTTATGTAAGCCCTTGGACCCAAACAACGCGTCAGACAGACACCACATCGGCCATTCCAAAATTTTTGACTTGGGCTAAGGAGGGACGTGCAAAGTCTCTAACAGGTAGTCTCGTTTTTAGAAACGACTGGCTTCAATTGCGTTTCTGCGAAATTTCGAGCGCTTAACTTTGCATCCTTATCCGAAGTGCAAACTTCGAAATTGTAACGAATTTACTCCTGTCAGTAAGACCCGTATGTCAGAGTTTTCATTTCATATTTTGGCTCGTAGTGTTACGTCTACATACATACATATATATATATATATATATAAAAGGTATAGAGACATGCCCATCCCTTTCTGCGTGTTTCCCTGAGGAGCCCGAGGACGCAGGAGGCGAAGAGGAGCGGAGGGAGGTCGATTTCGAGGTAGATCCGACCCAGGCCAGGGAGCGTTGTTTGTTTTCCTCTTTCTTTAGGGTCAAGGGAGCTAAGTTAGGTGGTTTAGGAAAGTTTTGGGTTTAGATGCTTGCTTTGTTGCTACCTGGCTGAGGGTTTTGGGGACTAGAGTTGGGGGTCGGGGGTTGGTGGGGAACACCACAGATTATCAAGGCCCCGTAGGTTACGGCACCACAACTTTTTGAGTCCGACTCCTGGGCTCCCAGTTTTCTGAAGGTCATTGATTGTATTCAAGGCATTTAGGGTTCGGGGTGTGGGGTTGCGGTTTACGGAATCTGTGCATCCGATTTTGTTGTGGGTCTGTTCAGCTTAGTCCTTGCTCGCTGAAATTCCCATCTAGGGCCTGCGTCTTCTTGGACTTGAATGGAAGGTCCGAAACACCAGCAAAGTCCGAAATGCCGTCTAAATTCAGAGCGTCTTGACCCGAAGCCCTGAAGCCAATACTTCAATCCCCTTAGTTCAAGTTTAAGCTGTCAGAACAGCCTGAAATCCTGTGAGCCCTTCTAAAATCCTACCGCCCCTCCCACCCTTTTTCCACAAAGAGGGGGGTGGCCTCTAAGAAGCACCCTGACCAGGGCACGCAGGCCCTCGAGGAGACAGACAACATGGACGTCTCCCTTGCCGAGCCCGGGGAGGAAGTAGAGGAGATCTGGATGGAGAGCTTTCTATGGATTGTTCTTTTATTAATGGATCGCTAGTGTCGTCGGTCGAGGCACCCGACTTCAGACTTTCGGGGATTCGCTTCGTATTTTATTCACGGTTTCGGTAAAGCGTCTAGAGTTCAGGCGATTGAGTTGGAGTCCTGGAGTTACTTTTCATCATGAGAGTGTTCCCCAGATGGAGTAATACCCATCTCGCAAATGCAAGTTCTACGGGGGTCATCTTCATACGGTGCATGAATACAGTGATCCTAAAACTGTCTAGCCGAGAACAGAAAGGGGATGACAGTTCCAAACCCTTCTGCAAAATCCTTATACCATAAGACCCAGGAAGCCCTAAATGGAAAGTCACAGGGCTTTTGTGAGCGCTCTTGTGTCATAATTGTAGATGCTTCGTGCCGTCTGCCTCGCGTGGAGGGTAGTCTCCACATCGGCATGCTTTTTTTTACGTTTTCTGGCAATTTGGGAGGGGCCTCCCACAGAATTAAGGGGGTGGGGTGTCATTGTAAAAGGGGCGCGGGATGAAGACAAGGGGAACCAGGTGCCCCGCAAGGAAAGAGGGAACCTCTGACAGCTTGACCATTTCGGTCGAGAGCGACCTACTCTATATAAGTGGATACAGCGAGTGTTGGGGTGCCCTGGCACAGGTTCAGGCTTCGGTTTGTGGACTGTGCAATAGGGTGAACGACCTCCCTCTTAAGATACCAATCATAAGGTTTGTGTCAGCAGTCTCAAGCTTAGCAATATTATTGCCTACATGCTTACAGCATTATATACCCCACTCTCCCTACCCAAGCCCTATTCCCGTTGCAACCGTCAACCGTCCAAAGATCCCAGGATGCTGGACCTGCAGAGGACTTACAGCTTCCGGCGGAGTCGGTCCGGGATCCTACTCTGCTGCTCTTGGTTCCGGGACTTCGGTGTTCGGCACCCTGGTGCTTAAACATCCAGCTCTGAATGCAACGACCCACATTGCGATTCTGACATGTTAGTTTTCATGTTCAAGTCGCGTCGTTCGTTCTGTTCTGCAGGTGTTGGTGATCTGGTGTAACCAGGTTGGGCTTTTGAGTTTGTTTTTGTGCCTTGGACCTTGCGATCAGCTTGGAGTTCATAAGATGGACGAAGTTAGGGCTTTGAGCAGCAGGGTGTATCACAAGGGCCCCGCTACCGAAGCCATAGACCTTGCGGCTGGGACCCCAAAAAGCTAAGGTGGCTCTTTTTTCCTGAGCCGCAGGAACTCGAGATACGATGCTTCACTCCTGACTTTCCGTCAATGTTTGTTGTCTGTTCGGGAGCGGGATTTCTTAGGCTGCAGGACGGTTCAGTTGGGCTCAAGCTTTGCAAGAGGGCGAAACCACTTGGTGCACAGTCGAAAGCACCAAGCTCGAATCCCTAAACCCTGCCCCGCTGAATCTTAAAGGCCCAAAAAAGCCTTGAATCCTCACCCCTTAAACCTTGAAACCATAACCTCTTAGCCCCTAAACCCCTAAATCCTGACGGGCCCTATAAATCCTTAAATCCTGAAAGGCCCTACTTCGCCCTCCGTTCATCCAGCCGCACTTTATAATCCCAGCTACAGACCCTAATCCTTATTATAAGGTCCCCGAAATAGGGTAGCCCCTATTTTCGGAAACTCCCAGATGGCTCAGCTGGAGATGTACAAGGCCATGATGGAGCAGGCATCTACCCTCAGCCTCAGTGGGGAATGGCTGAAGATTCGATCCGTGAGCCCCCGATGACAGGGATTGGATTCCCTAAGCCGCCAAACCCTGAAAGCATGATATACTGTCAGACCCCTTGAAGCCTGTACATCAACCTATTTTATACTACTTAAACCTTCTAAAGCCCTAAACCCCTTAGCCTTATACCTAAAGCTGTGTGCAGGAACTCTTCAGGCAGAACGGCTCAAATTCGGACAACGAGGCTTCGGCGTCGGGGCTTTTGGGCATGGGCTGGTGCATTCCAGGGCTGCAGGGTTCAGGGAATTTTGGGCTTTTTAGAGCTTCCTGCTATGCTTTTGGGACTTGGGGGCCCAGGGGTTTAATGGATTTGGGCTTCGTGACCTGGACTTTGGGCTTTGGGGCTTAGACAGCTGCCGCTCGGAAGGAACAACGGCTTGAATAGTCAGTAGCTTTATTCAGTTTGATTCCCTTATGGTCCACGCAACTACAGTGCAGTTTTCCTCAAACGGCTGTTCCAATTATCATGGCCCCTACATCACGCTTGAGTGGTTTTGCTAATAGTGCTGCAAATGAGGAGGTGTTAAAGGTGTCGCATAGGGTCTTTATTGGGCTGTGTAGTTTCTCCATGGAGCTGCACGGGGTGTGCTGCACAGCAACTCTTCTGGGGCAGAGATGCCCTGAACACCTTAAACTCCCCTGATCTGGCCCTAAACGCTGGAAGCCTTAAGCCGTCAACCAGAGACACCCCAAGCCCTTAAGCAACCGCAACACCCCTGCCACATCCAAAACCCCAAATCCGCCAAACACCCGAATCCCTGAAGCCCTAACTGCCCTAACTACTGTAGGTTACTACCCCAGGACCCTAAGGCCCTAAAGCAGTAAAGCTCTAAGCCCTGAACCTGAAAACACTAAAGCCTCAAACAGCAAGAAGCGGGGAGCCAGGATGAGTCGTACCAGCCGCAAGAGGAGGCCGATATTGGGTGGGGGTGTTGAGGATCTCAGGGTTTTCTTGATTTTCTTGATTGCTTTGAAGTCTTGGTTGCTTTTGGTTGTATTTATCACCGACAGCTCACCAACTCAAGCAGTACAGGAGACAATCGAGTCAACCTTTTGCAAGCGAAACATCTGTGACTACAGTATCATGTGGAGAAGGTCTCGCGGTCGAAGATACTTTCGTGATATCGGGCCTACAAAGGATCTGTACTGCTGTTAATGTCAGCCTCCCTTTCCTTTTTGAACTCTGCAGAGAAACCCTGAACTCAACTTTAAGCCTTAAGCCCCGGAGCCCAAAACTCTAGGCAAGCCCTGAGCTCTTAAAGTTCTGGACCGGACCTGAGGTCTCTCTGCAAAACCCGAAATCTAAATCTCAGCTCGACCTTAGCAACAGCTGCGTAGGATGAAGATGATGGCATGGCCAGAGCCCCAGATGGATGTAAGGTTCGCGCAGCACTCCGGCTTGGCTTGGGGGGATTTAGGGGGATTGGCTGCAGTTTCACGCCTAGGGCTTCATGGCATTGGGTTGCAGTCTTCTGGAGGTTGGGGAGTTTAGGGTCTGACAGTTTCAGGTTTGATTAGTGCATCCGGGCGACTTTGTGGTGTCATAGCTGGTATGAGAATCTTTGTGTGTTACTGGAGGTTTGCACCATAAGTTAAGATTCTCAGTTTAGCAGGGAGCTGCGTGGAGCATGGGGCCTTGGTTTGTGTCGTAGGTCTACATGGAGAATTTAAATTCGCTTGATGTTGTTGACAGGAGAGAGCAGATATCATGCTACTGTAGCGCTGCAGTCTTGCAGCGATTGAGTTTGTCATCTTTCGGCATTGACGGCTCCGGAATCGAACATTGCCGAGCCGTACGACGTTGTACAAGCAAATGGGATTACAGTCCTTTCAGACTTGACTTGCTAAGGTGATAGTTTCGTAGAGGGCTCTTGCCGGTATGGTAGCATGGCATCGTTTGAAGACGCGGAACTTAGGCTTTACTCCTGAGAACCTGAGTCTTTGCCCCAAGCACCGTGCAAACTCATTGCAAACAGTTCATATGAAATCTATGGCCAGGAGGTCAGACAGGAGGCTTGGTAGGGTTTTCTTGATCACCAATGCCCGTGAAAGGGAACCCATCAGCAGCTGGCAGTTGCACAAAGCAGCGGTCGCAGTGCTTTCCCGGGGCGGTCTCTCTCGGAATCGAAGTTGCGGGTTCAGGTGTAGGGTCTCTGGTATCGAAGTTTTGGTGGTGTATGCACATGCTAGGGAACCTCTCTTACGCAAATAGCACGCGTCTATCTAAACCCCGGCAGCTGTGCTTACCCAAACCCACCTTGAACCCCAGACCCTTAAACCCTAAATCCCTGACTCTAAACCCTGAACCCAGGGCATTCCCAGCTTCTTTCATCGCCGTGACCTCGGCTGTCGTTTTCGGAGTCTTGCCCAGCACCCTGCTGCTGTAACCCTCGGATCCCACACCATAGTGCAGCTGAAAGTAAAGAAGTTTTTCTAAAACAGTAGCATCAGCACGTTCGGCCGTATTAATACCGCGACTCTTACGATCATGACCGTTGTCATCATTGTGATAGTTCGTGCTGGTATATGTATATATACTTCTTCAGATTTGCGGCCTCATCACTCGTATTCATCCAATCCGGAGCTCTGCAAACTCCTAGCCTATACCTGTCTCCATCTTAGCACGGAGCTACTTGCATGCTTTGACACATGAGGGCATCCAAGATAGCAGGCCTCGAGGCCCTAATGGACAGCTCATGAGTCCATGCTTCGACGGGAAGTGCACCCTGAACCCTGCTGTCCAAGGGGTTGCTTCCGATGTTTGAGGTTCGTGTTCGTGCACCAGCTTTCCTCGGAAGTGCAGTCAATCACGGTCTGTGCAGGCATGCCGTGCGGCGTAGTTGTAAGGTATATAGGGACCGGACGCTGATGTATGCTTCTGTGGGGCGAGCAACCTGATCATAAAGGCTCTGAGGTCCCACGCTCCGTAGAGAATTCTAGGCCAACCGTAACTCCGCCGAGGCCAGTTTCGAAGATTCAATCAGCAGCGGTTGAAGCAGGAGGCACTTTTTTTCTGTTGTTTAGAGTGAGGTTTGGGTTTTCATTTCAGGCGTTGTTTGGGGCTCAGGGTTTTCCGGGGGTGAGGGTTCAGGGCTTGCCGGATGCTTCGGGAAGCGAAGTCAAGGATTTCCAAGGTCCCACGAGAATATTGAGGTTGCGAGGTAGAGCTTGACAGGGCTTTGAGATTTCAGCTGTTCGATCGGAACCTGGCCATCCGCACCGGCACTCTCAGTGTAAGTGGTGCCAGTCCGGATGTCTAATTTTTCTGAAGCCATGCAGACGAGACTGTAAAGCTTACCCTTTGGCTCCAAAGGGCCCAATAATTATGGGCTTGGATTTAGGGAATGTAGGTTGCTACTAGGGGTGGTCACCCGGGGTGGTCTACTTGGACCGCTGAGCTTAGCCACAGGAATAACATGTGAGCCCCAAGTCTAAGAATTAGACCTTTCCGTTACAATTTTCTTGCTGCGTACTTACCCCAGTTTAGTGAAGTTATTCTGGCTCATATAGTTGCACCAAAGCGATGACAAAGAGCCGTTCAGAGCATGCTTTGGATTTCGGGATTGCGTTGGGGGGTTGAAGGCCGAGGCCCCGTCAAGGGCTTCAGGTTTCCGGGGGCAGGCACATTGGAAGTCAAGGCGTCAACTCCCCACAATGTAAGCTGTGAGGCTCATGAAGGGTTGTGTTTTAGGCTTGAGGAGTTGCACCCGAAGCCCCAGAACCCACTTCCCAGGCCGTGCCACTGCAGCCACTTAGCCCAAGGCCGCCCCAACTCTGCACTCCAAGTCCAAGCCCCCCGTCAGTACCCCAAACCCTCCAAACTCGAAACCCGAGCTGCTCCTACACCTTGAATCCAAGACCCTCAAGAACTCTACGCCTTAGCCTTAAACGAAGCCCATATCAAAATTCTTACAAAATGCCATAAGCCGGCTAGAAAGTCTTTGCGCCGTGCCGGAAGACTCCAGGTCCCCACACTCCCCAAGAGCCGAAGAAAAAGAACCTCGCAGGGCTGGCGCCTCGTCTACGGACTCCTGAATTTCTCTCCCGAGGAGCTCCGAGGGAGTTGGGCCGTGACTGCAGGGCTGCAGCGTAGGCAGTGTAGGTGCCCTGGTTCGTCGGGAGCTCTCTGTGGGAAAAGCCGGAAGTCCCTGACCAAGCCCTGAACCGTAGGCTGCATCCTAAACCAGACCCTCACAAAGGGGGGCTCAATGGGCTTCAAGCGTCGACGCATATCGCAGGTGACGCCGTAAGCGCGACGTTAACTGCATGTTTTGGGTTCGAGTTTTGTTTTTTTTGACGTTTGGCATGTGTTTTGGGTCGGGGGCCGAGGGTCGTCACTCCGAAGGTCTTGAAACTTGCCTTCAGCAGCCCCACCCGCCCGGAGAATGATCCAACAGCCTGTTGTCCGCACCTAGACGCTCGCATTCTGAATTGCGATCACCGATAAGCCCTCCTCGTTGCATCAGGATCCGATGAGTGCAGCCCACCTGAGTCGCATCCAGGAGCTGATGGTCAGAAGGTGGCCGTGGCCGTCGGATGTGGATTTTCGGGTGTTATTACGGTAAGGGGTTAGATGAGTTTCTGAGGAAAGGGTCTGGAGTAAGCGCTGCGTCCAGAGCGTTAACGCCCAAAACCCTACAAACCGAACCCTTGAAGCCATCAAGCCATACAAACCCGCACATCCGGCCCCGAATCAAGTGTCCCTCAAAGCCCATGAGCCCCATAAGCGCCAATCGCTATAACCTCAGTGGCAGGAATCACAGTATAACAGGCATCACATGTAGGGTCAGGTGTTGGCGGCGAGACGCAGTTTTGATTCTTAACTTAAGAGAGGCACCAGTAGCCTCACGACTCGCTCTGAACTATGGGATGCTGTCTGCATGCGGACAAGCGGAGCCCTTGAAACGAGTTCCAGAGTAGACATCGGCAATCAGTTCTTGAATGAGAATCTCTCGAGGATCCAAGGCCTATCGTTCGTGTCACCTTATATCTAAAGCCCAAGCGCTTCGAATGCTGGACCATGCAGCTTGAACCTAGAGCCCTCCGCCCTCAACCAGAGAAGCCGGCCAAAATGCTTGCACTACACAAGGCGCCGATAACAACGAATAGAACAAGAACAACCTTAAACGATTCTCTGGTGGCCATTTCTGGCCCAAAGGATCTTGGGCAACAGGTCGCAGTCCGCGTGTGCCTGCTTCGATGCTAGGGTGTGTCCTTGGCAGTAGACCCGAGAACTGTAAAGGTCACCCCGAAACCTAGGGTATATAGTCTATGGCTTGGGGTCGAAACCCTAGACCAAGCGACTGATAAGTCCTAGAAATGAAAGTCGTCAAGCCCAACCGAACGACCACCTCACACATTTGCGCTTTGCAGGTCAGGTCAGTGGGATATGTGGAAGATGGGAGACATTATAGTGGATGCTGCACCTTGACCTTCCCAACCTCTACAAGCCCGAAAAGAGGCTCACAGAAATCTTGCAGAAGTCCGCTCAACCCGACAAAATGCGTCGTGCGCGCACAAGAACCCCCGTCCCAAGCCGAAAGCCTGACCTCTGAGCCTCTGCTGCGATGTGCTCCATTGGGAAGACGCAGAGCTTGCAGACGACCTTCAAAGGCGGCAACCGCTCCCAGGCTCTGAATTGAATATAGGAGCGGCTTAGGCCTTAAGGCTTCGTGTTTGTGGAGCCTGGAGAATGACCGGTGACCCTGACCAAGATTGTTCCTCATAGTTCCCTATAAACGATGAATATGGTGGCTTGAACAACTGCCCATGTTATCCTGAATTCGGATCCGTAATGTAGTTGTTCTCGCATAGATCCCATGGCCAAAACCCTTTTCCAATTACTAAGGCCCTTATTACTTAAACCTATCCCTTAACTCGCTGGCATCTGGCGTTCTCAGCCAGTTTCGAGCGAAGGTTCTCCGAGTCGTTCCAAGTCTGAGAGCGGTTTTGTGAGCTAGAAGAGAGCGTCATAGCACGTAGAACTCCAAGGATTGCAGGGCATCTACTTCCAAGTGGATGTGCTGGATGCCGCATGGCTTTCCAGCACGTGCATGTCGAGGGTAATGGGTTGAGTTCAGGCCCGGTATAACCTGAACTCTTGCCCCAAACCAAGAGGCATTAACTCTGAATCACAAAGCAAACACCCAGAAATTTTAACCCATAGGAAAAGTGTGCGATTTTGAAATACTTCAGGGGCTTACATAATTAGCAATACTATCTCGTTGTAAGAACCCCCGTAGATTCATCGAACTTGCATGGTCATCTTCTGCGAAGCTGTTGTGGTTGGCGTCTGGGGTTTGGGCTTTATTGTTTGGGGGGTACTGTATCGATTTAGGCTTTAGGGATACTTCGGTTTGCTGACTACGGTTCTCAGAAATTGCCCAGCAGCCAATGCTCTCCTGTACCGGACAGTCTTGACTGCACATGTGCGGCCAGAAACGCTGAGACGTATGATACTAGAGCCATCATACTTAGTGCCACTATCCCGGCATTTCCGGTGCAGAATTGTGGTGGTCTATACCATTCCATCATACCCCCCCCAGATTGTACTCTAATTGTTTCGACCGTTGCACCATCCGTTGTTCGTCGTGACGCCCCAGTGTGCAAGATCACCGAGCAAAGCTGCGCCTCCGGCAGCAGAACCTGTCGTGTAGGCCCGAGTCTACATCCAAGGCCCATTTCGCTTCTGTTCAAACACAAGAACACAGGCCCCCCAACCCACCCAAGCCCAAGCCTCGCGCGAGACCAGGACATCAACCTCGTGAGCCTCACGGGCTCCTCTCCTCGGATTCAGGGATTCAAAGCTCTTGTGGCTCAGGGGACTTTGGTCAAGGGCTCAAGGTTTGGATCTAGGACTGAAGGGGTCTGGAGCCGAGGGTTCTGGGGTTGAAGGGCTGAAGGCTCGAGACTTGCGTACACCACGGCCGCGTTCCGTCTTTGTTTGTCTTCTTTGAGGTTTGGGAGTTTCGGGATTACAGGGTCATGCTGACGGATTTCATGTCCTGCACTCTTGATGAGTCTGGCCAGCTGCATGCTGCGAGTTTGAAACGTCAGTGTCGCAGGTTTCCGGAAGCAAGCTTATGTTTGTTCAGGACGTTCTCGCTGTTTGGGGTCTCGAACTTTAGGTTTATATCACCGTAGACCTCGAAGCCCCAGACCCAAGCAAGGGTTTAAGCATCGGGTCCAGGGTTTCAGGGTTTTTACTTTGTCGTTTGCCTCCCTTCAAATACTTAAACCCAAACCCCGCAAGCCTGAACTTTGAAGCTTCAGCTTAAGATCACTATGACCTCCCCCGGGTTAAGGGTCGTTTGCGGTTTACGCGTTAGGGTTTGGGGCGGGGTTTCGAGTCCCCTGATTTCCAAGGCAGCTTTGCAGATGCGGGGCAAGTCTATGTGCACGTTCGCGCGGGCAGCATTGGCGAGCAATTGGGAGGCAAGGGCTAAGGGGAGGTAACACCTCAGCCTCGGACCCCCAAATGTAATGAGAGCCTCATACTAGAGTTTCTAGGTACCACTGTATGCGGCCTTGAAGGCAACTGGTCTTTGGTGTGCCGTGGCGGCATCGTGGTGCAGGCTTCGGGTGAACCGGATCAGCTTGTTGTTACAGTTCTTCGCAAATTGAGAGCGGAGCTCAAGAATACGAAAACAAAGCTCTTTTAAGGCTTTCTGTTAGCCTGTACCTAAACTTCTGTGCAAGGGTTCGCGTGCAAGGTTGCATCGCTCTCGGACTGAACTCCAAAGACGTCCTAATCCCCAACCCTATGCCGAGCTACAATCTGAGGAAGAACATGCAGATCTCCACCGGAGGGCAGCATCTCGTTCCAATCGGCCAGGCAGAGTGATTCCTTCAAGTTGACGGTTTGGCTCCAAGCAGATTCTGACAACAGCTATGCATTCGACGACGATGAAGACGACGACGCAATGCAATCACAATCAGTCATCCGATCGCTTCACGGCCCTAGACCGCAAAGTCACGGCAATTGAATCTAGCGAGTCGGCTCAGCACTGAAGCTCCAACTCCAGATCGTCCGTGCCATCGGACGATTACCTCGCTTTGGCAGTTCTGGATTGCTTCAACCCCTCATGTTTGTCCTTCTTTTAGGCTCAAGGATGGCACTTCCCCTGTCGTGTCGAGTGCAGGTCCTGACCCGTGGAAGTTACACTCTGCATGTCGCCTGCTCTTCGTCGATCATCTACTCAGCCTCGCGGCTTCGGATCAGCTTTGGGTCATCGGGAGCGGGAAGAAGCTGGTATCCAGGGTTTGGCGTTTTCTGACATCAACTTTCGGGGTCCCTCTCCTGTGGCAGCTTCCACCAGGCCTTTCAGGATTCAGGGCCAGTTGTCTCGTGCGATCCTGCGGTCTAACTAGATAACCAGACAGTGTTCTGGAATCCGGACATGGCATTGGGCTGTACAGTGCAGAAGTGGCATAAGGCTGCGAAGGAAGGCTTACGTATGGTTTGTTGAGTGGGGGGGGTTGGCCTGGAAGAGCCAACTGCAACTAAAGCTTCAAAAATGAGGGAACCTGGTACAGACCCCAAGTTAATTTCGGAAGAAAATTTCAGTAGACACTTGAAGCCCATGCCGTACACCTTAAACCGTAAGCCCTTTACATCCTAATCCCGAAACCCTAGGCCCTGAGCCCGAACGCCTGGACTCCAAATCCGCAGCCAAGGATGCCCTGTCCATCTCCGAAGTTCTTGCACAGGACCATCCTGAAGCGCAGAGGCTAAGGATTCCGGTCTGCTGGAGTTTTGGGTCTCGGGTTCAGGGGTCGAGGGTTTGTTTGATTGGGCTTCGGGGTTTCGGATCCGGTTTTTGTGGCTGAGCTCGTGTGTCCCGCTCCAAGTCCGACTTGTCAACCTCACACCAGGTCGGACGCAGGCAGGTTTAGCTTTAAGCAGGGGACTCCTTTACGCTGACCCGAATCACATCAAGCCGATGTGGATTTCAAGCATGCGTGTCCAGGATCTCGTAGTTTAGGCAGTGGTGTGCAGAAATGCCTCAGGCTTTGGGCCTAGGATTTGAGAGGAGCTACTCTGCAAAATTTGGGTTCAGATTGGCTCCCTCCGCAAATCCTCGAGCAATCTCAATCCCTCTGAGATATTTCAGATGATCCCCTCAGCCTTCCCCTTGTGGATTTCCGAACAAACAAGAAAGACTTGATCCCCGGTGCCCAAAGCCCGATATACCAGAGGATGACAATCTTATCATCTACAATGGCTGGGGCACTGCAGATTGCGACGTGATTCCCCCGGCAACCCAGCACGGAATTTAGCTTCAGAGATGAGGGGAGTTGTCAGGAATTGAACGACTTTGAGAAGGCCTGTTCAGGGTAGCTCGGGAAGCAACATAGGAACCTCAGTATTTCGTCATTCCCCAAATGCCTCTTGTCTTGGAAAGCCTCCCGGGAGCAGCAGACAACTCACTCGATCTCTTAAGCTGGTCGTCTTCAGGCACAGTCTACGTGGTTGTCCTAGGCTTACTTCCCCGAACCCTTCGAGGCCCCCGCGCATCC